TTAAAAAAATAGCACGTAAAAATGGTCCAGCGCCTATATAAAGACAGGCAGAGTAAAGTGCCCTGAATTGTCTCCTTATCGAGTCAAGGATTCGCGAAAGATTCGCGAGCGGAAAGTAGCACGTCTTGCTTATAGTTTCTTGAATTTGCACTTGCGGTCCATCATTGTAAAATCGCAGGATTCATATTAAACAAAGAGAGAGAGAGAGAGAGAAAGAACGAGCGAGAGAGTGGTGCCACATTATTACGATTTAGCCACATAGATGTAATTCTAGAAGAAGTGAATGAAACAGAGCACTTATTTAGAACGCTAAGTCGTAAATCCAACTGTATAAATTTTTGATTTATTATGATGTACGTGTTAATTTTAATTTCTTTTTTTTCGTCATTTATGATGTGACGAAGTGTATATTTAATAATATACGTTAGGCGATTATGATTTAGATATACATATATATATATATATTTCGCGCAAAATTAAATTCATATATATATATATTTTAATGTAGCACATACATTTTATATCGCGTCGGCGTACATTCGTTGCGAAGAACGCAAACATATGTCAGCGTTTCTTTACGAGGAGGAGAGCCACATTTAGAATGTGCATTGTTTGTTTGTGTATTGTGTAACGTGACATATATATATATTTGTTTCCCCCTCTTTTTTTACTCTATAACAGTATACAGTAGAAGTATATGAGAATCTTATGAAGCAGATAGATTATTTATAACGTTATACGGGGTATCGACAAGTTCGAGTACGAGCGAATGAGTGCTCGTACGTTGTCGATTACGCTAACGAGGACGCTAACGGGTTTCTTTTGATTAAGATTTCAATATCAGGATATGTGTAAACGTATTTTATACATCGGCCGCGCGTTAAGAATATTGACGTTCCCTTGCTTGATTTCGCCTAGACACGTGTACATAAAGCGATTAGATAATCAAAATTGTGCATACGAATGTAGCCGGGAAAAGAGAGTATCTCTCTTGCGGTATTTTGAGAGTAAAATTACACGGGCGATCACGTTGCAATTTGCTTAGCACGTAATTTGCACACCGCGCTTTCCGTTTATCGAGTAATAATGCAATTCTCGATATTCGCTTTTTATTTTTCGACGGTCATGGGCGCTGTACATTGATAAACGTCGGGTACGAATGACTCGACTTCAAATGTGCCGTTTAAGAAAAGAAAGAGGAAAAAAAGCCCTAAAAAAAAAAAAAAAAACAGGCATATCGACCTCTGTTCGAAAAAAAATAGGTTACGATATAATTATCATAACTAAATGATTAAGGTGGATTTAATTCTCGAAATGGGATACACGCGAGTGAGATATCAATCCTGACGTATTTGGTCCATTGCACATTGTATTTGAGAAATATACGCATACTGTATAAATTTAGTGAAGGGTTCTAATATAACAATACCAGCACATACAGAGAACTGCTTGCTCATATTATTATTATTATTGTTATTATTATTACTCGATTACGCTTTAGGGAAATGCTTACGCGTTTTTCTTTCTTTTTTTTTTTTTTTCCTCAAAACGAACGCGATCGTCAACAACAACGTGCAATCGGTAAATGCAATTACGTGTGATTGTCGGCGTATAAGGCATGTACGATAAACTCGTCTCATTAATTTACGCAGCTTCTATCGAGAAAATCACACATGTTCTTTATATATATAATATACCCCCGACTTTATTAGAATATAATACGATTAAGATATGTTTAATGAAATATAATTCAAGTACGAAACGTTGCGCGAGAAATGATTTTTCCCAATTACAGATATAATTCATTTGCCGGATTCCCCTCGTTCCTACGTGGATTCCACGTAGAATACGATAATTTCGTCTCAAGCTCGTATTCCCGATAACTCATACACATAGATAAGGACGAACGTATCTATCATCAATCGGATCGGACATTGTTTGTCGCGCGCTCGCATCTGAAACTTGTGAGAAAAGCATTAAAAGTAAATTCTGTAAATCGATTAGGAGAGCATTTTTGACTCGCGTAACGATTAAGTGTCTTAACATTAGCTTTTATTAGATATACATATTAAATATAAGCGCTTCGGATGCTGATTTGCTAAGGTAATCAAATAAACCAACTGTACGATGTATATATATCCGTTGACATATATCGATTATGGTATATGTATATGTAGGACTATAAGTGATCATTTTTCTCTCTCGCACCGTTTTGCGTCTTTATTTTTTTTTTTTTTTCTGTCCATTCTCTATTACTGTAGCGGCAATTTCAAGTACAACGTGTACATATACATAACTTGTTCGGACTTACACGAGAGTGGATCGGCGATAGGTTTGCGCGTTTCTTCGTAAGCGGACGATTCTTTTTCTTTCGCTCTCGATCGCGGTAAGAAAATTTTTATAGATAAGTAAGCACGTGCGCGTAATTCTCATCCTTTTTCTTTTTCTAGTTTTAGCTTGTATCTCGCGTCTCTTGCGATTCCATCCGCGATAAAGAGCGCGGGATTGTATTATGAACTCTGTCATGCTCGAATACTCTCCGATTATTCTGATCCTTTAATAAGTCATTCGTTGATTCCGAGACAATCAGATCTCTTAGTTTCTCAAATTTATTTGATAAAGATTACGAGATTGTAATTTTTTTTTTATAAAATTGTGCAATTTTAAAATGATATGAGTGTGATAAGGATATACGATGCACGCGATAGAGTTAATAATAATTCTCGAGAGGTCGAAGAAAGGGAAGGGATACTGCTAAAAATGTGAAAACGATATATAATTACATAACCGATTAACTCATCAGTTTTTTTTGCGCTTATGTATCCAGTTTTGTCTAAGTTGATGCAATTTTCGCGCGTCTCGTGCTATTTCAAGTGGCAAACTTAAAGTATGTTTGTAAAGAAAGAAACGTCCTCTCCTTTCCCACCCCCCTCCCCGGAGAGGAGTTTCTTCATCTCTGATTTCGACGAGAGTTGATTTATCTCTTCGTAGGATAACCGTAAGAATAAGAGATAAGCATTTTACGACCGATCCGATTTCTCGGACACTCTAGAGGGTGAGATATGTATTACTCTTCACGCGCAGTTCACGCTCTCTCGATGGTAAGTCGAAAATTTAACGCAGATACACTAAAGTGTTTTTTGTACAAAGGTCATTTGGTTATGTATGTATAATAAAGTGACGTCCAGAAATATTGCGTGCAACAATTCTTTCGAAGCTAAAGCGATCTTTGACGACGCGTCCCTCGAATCGTTTTCTTCTTTTAAACTTCAATCATCCAATCTCTTGTAGAATCTAAATTTAAGTTTCGCAAAAAAAGGTCATCGAGAACGATATATTACACTCGGAAAAAAAATCATACGAATTTGATATTTATTTTTCTCGCGTGTATATAAAAGTGATATTTTTCATCATATAATCAATTTTTTTTATCGCTTCAATTTTATTATGATTGAGCGGAAAACGAGTTAATTTAAAATTAAAAAAAATTCTAATGATTTCCAGGATATTATTATGCAAATATTATGCATTCGATAGATAAATACGAGTGGTATAATGTATAAAAACATGTTTTAATAAATATCAATAGAAAAAAAGTTACAGAAAATATCTACACAAATATATATATATCAATATATAAAATTACATGATTCGCAACATAATAATATTATCGAAGACCCTTACACGTTTGTCTCTCTCTTTCTCTCTCAGTGTATCTAATCTTAATATTAGTTGCATTTAATATTAATTGCGCTAGTGCGCGCGCTAAAGGTAATCGTAATACTTTTTTTCTCCTTGTTGATCGAGAGATATTGTCGACATTCACGCATAATTCGCGTTCACACGCGTTACATCGCGCGTGTTTTACCGGTGATAAATAATCGCCGTTTCAACAACTGTAACAACGATCCAAGTTCTCGCAACGAGTTTTACAATAGCAAAATGACGCGCGAATCTTAATAATACAGTTTAATGTCCAATACGGGACGAACTTGACTCTTGACTCACATATATACGATGAGTAAAAAGATGAGGTTTTCAGAAAGAAGACCAATGTTCGCAAGTAATTATAGATTACAAGGCACTAGAGTAAGAATTTCATGGTCACTCTCTTTCTAGATATCCATCGTACTTTGCAGATGACGAAAGAACTTCATTTGTCGTAATTTAGGACTAGCGAGATATACACGGCGTATTCCGAGGCATTATTCTTGAATGTCAGATTTTTCTCAGCGCGAAATCGCGCGCGCGTTCAGATAAATTCTTTATCGCAAGTTTTTCAATTTTCAACGCTGTATCTTTATAACACTATACACATCTTGAATTGAAATCTTATTAAAGTTTAATCGCACGCACGAAATTAATCGTAGAGTATCGTCTTGTCTTCTTCTAAAGCTTAATTCGCTAAAAATTTTTCCTTTATTCC